CATACGCTGCAGATTTTTTGCAGCTATGTCCTGTCCATCGATTTTTTTATGAGATGAAACATTTGGTCCGATCATTCAAAGTGCATATCCGTAAATCAAAGTCTTTGTCCCGTATGCGAGGGGTTAATGGAGAGTGGAGCTTGATTCGGATTCATGTTTTAGCGGCGGGGATAACCCATTGCTGGGAGGGTTTCTAATAGATGACACATTTATGTGGCTAGTCGCTTGCTCAAAATAGACGCCCGCTTATAGTCGCATCTACTGGTCAATAGATACTTATTGACTTCACGGGGCCCTTGGTCCCTACCAAAGCTCCCTCTTTTTCTGTCGTGACCCGAGGCGACACACGGATTAGTTGCCGCATCTCGCACATGAGTTGCTCTCGTTGCTAAGGGACGCTATCGGCGACCCAAGTCCGGAATTGAGTATGGTCGTGCAACTGCAACTGAACACCCATGCATGTCAGTGCTGTTTAATAGTGTTACAATAAAATTTATAGTGTACTTTTGTCCGTTATCGCACTCTTTTCGTCTGAGAAGACCCAATGAAATTTTTGTTAAACACTTGAATCGTCCATCGACTCTACAAACTTAATTTTTCCATATTTTTCAAAATAACGCTCAAACTAAAACTCAAACTCTTCTTCTTCTTTATCGGCGCTGTACCCGCCTAAGCGATTTTGACCACGCCAGCTATTTCTCATCTGTGCCAACTGACGCCATTGGAAATGCCAAGTGAAGCCAAGTCCTTCTCCACCTGGTCTTTCCAACGCAGAGGAGGCCTTCCTCTTCCTCTGTTACCAGCATCGCGGCCCGCGTTGAATATTTCCAGAGCAGGAGCGTTTCTGTCCATTCGAACGACATGGCCAAGCCAGCGGAGCCGCTGAATTTTAATTCGCTGCACTATGTCTATATCGCTGCAAAGCTCATACAGCTCATCGGTAAATCGTCTGCGGTATTCGCCATCACTAACGCGTATAGGTTCGTAAATCTTTCGCAGAATCTTTCTCTCGAAAACTCCAAGTTCCGCTTCATCAGATGTTTTCATTGTCCATGCCATACACCAGTACAGGCATGGTGAGTGACTTATAAAGTGTGATCTTTGTACGACGAGAGAAGACTTTACTTCTCAATTGCCTACTCAGTCCAAAATAGCACTTCTTGATTCTCCGTTGGATTTCAAGGCTGACATTATTAATGGTGTTAATGCTGGTTCCCAAATATACGAAGTCGTGTACTTTTCCAAACTTGTAACTGTCAACAGTGACGTGTGGCCAAGGCGCGTATTCTCTTGACTGTTTGTGTGATGACAGGAGATACTTCGTTTTGTCCTCTTTCACCACCAGACCCATTCGCTTTATATCTCTATCTAATTACCGATAATATCGATGGCGTGGGATTAAAGAAATCCCACGAAAGGGAGTCTGAAACCTCGTTTGGTATCAAACGGCTCGGAGAGGTCCTTCCCCATTCTGAAAGAGCTGGTGGTATTGCTCAACGTCATTTTACACAGCCGCGTCAGTTTTTCGGGGATGCCAAATTCGGACATAGCGGCGTATGGGTAACTCCTTTTAGTGCTGTCGAAAGCGTCTTTAAAGTCAACAAATAGGCGGTGAGTGCCGATCCTATTCTCGCGGGTCTTTTCTAAGATTTGGGGTATTGTGAATACCTGATCTATGGTGGATTTTCCGGGCCTAAAGCCACAATCAGTTCGTTGACGGCTTGCTTCAGTCTTTCACACAATGCACTCGATAAGACCTTGTGACCTATGCTTAGAAGGCTGATTCCGCGGTAGTTGGCGCGAATGGCGGGGTCGCCTTTCTTGTGGATTGGGTAGAGCACACTTAAATTCCAGTCGTCGGGCACGTGTTCATCTAACCATATGTTGCATAAGAGCCGATGCATGCACCTCATCAGCTCCTCGCCGGCGTACTTAAATAGCTCTGCAGACAGATTTTCGGGCGTTCTTCCTGTCGGCCAGCATCTCAAGCTCTTCGCACTCACGTATGTATCTTGGCCTCTCTCTTCTTATTGCGGCAAACACGCCTCGCTTACATCTTCAGTTCCCTATAACGGCCCCACATAGCTCGCGTTGCGTTCGATCGCAGCGTGGCCCTATAGGCGGCGTCCCTGCGCCTTCTTGACATTCCTCATCGTACCAGCTGTTCTTTCGGGCTCGCTGAAATCCAACTACTTCTTCGGCGGCGGTACTTAATGATCGGAAAATGTGGTTCCACTACTCGCTTATGTCGGATTGTTGAAGAGTGCTGTCAGAGAGCAGGTGTGTGAGTCGAGTGGCGAATAAATTGGCCGTCTGTTCTGATTGCAGCTTTTCGACGTTAAGCTTTCCTTGCATTGTTGGGCGCACATTTTTTGCTGCACAGAGGCGGGTGCGTATCTTGGCTACAACAATATGGTGGTCCGAATCGATATTTGGCCCTCGGAGTGTACGTACGTCTAAAACGCTAAAAGCATGCCCTCCGTCTATCACAACATGATCGATTTCGTTTCTCGTTTTTCGATATGGAGACAGCCATGTATCTTAGTGGATCTTCTTATGCTGGAACCTAGTACTACATATTGCCATGTTTCGGGTTCCGGCGAAGTCGATCATCCTCAGTCCGTTATCGGACGTTTCGTCGTGTAGGCTGAATTTTCCGACAGTAGCGCCAAAGATACCTTCCTTGCCCAACTTGACATTAAAATCGCCGAGCACGATTTTGATATCATTTCGGGGGAATGCGCTCCTATGTACGTTCAAAGCGCTCATAGAGGAGATCCTTGAACGCCTCGTCCTTCTCTTCCGTCGGGGCATGGGCGCAGATGAGCGGGATGTTGAAGAATCTCGCTCCTCCGGGGTGAACGCCAGTACTCGGTGACGGAGTCTCTCCTACCACGACTCCAACACCGAATTTGCGCTCCTTTGCGTGGCAACTGTAGTAGACGTCGCAAGCAGTGTTGCCACAAAATTTTTTTTATTTTTTACCAAAATCATCGGAAAAAGTTACCAAATTCAACAAAAAATTCCCAAACTTATTTTATATGCAGAACTGTACAAACATACATTTGTATGTACATATGTAAATATATCCGAATACACAAGATTTTCAGGCAATCAGCACTCCATTCACCTAAAATTTTTTTAACTGCGTTAACGCTGAAAGCCACAACATAACCCCTTGTTTAGGATTTCAAGCGTATTGCCGAAGAAACAAATTTGTTCATTGCGCGTCGTTTTAAGAACATGGTACTTTCTTATGGCTAATTGCATATTTTGCATTTGGATATACTATTTCTCCATCGATACAAAGCTCAGGCCACAAAACAACTGACGGCATCTGATCATTTAGGGCCGTTTGCACCATGTCTAGTTAATTCTAACTCCCAGTTAAACATCTTTATCGACGTTATCGACACCCATCATATAACATGTGATCGATAAAGCAGTTAACGTGCTTAACTGAAGGATGTACCTCCAGTTAGCGTTAACTAGACATGGTGCAAACGGCCCTTAGTGTCATGGATACGGTTCATTGCAACAGAGGAGTTTGAGGCGCATAAGTTTCCGTAGAGGGGATGTCATTTGACCACTGACATCATCCGGCTTGGTACCATTGGAATTTTTTATGAGGCTATTCTAAAAAATCAACGGTAATTTTTAGCGATTTAAAACTTAGATTTTATTCTACTCGAACTCAATGGGCTACAAAATTTTGTAACCAGAATCTTTCTAGGAAATCTAATTCAAAAACCTCGAGAGTTTTACGAAAGTTTGTTGAATTTTTGTTATTTATTATTGAAAAAGGTTTGAAACTTGGATTTACCCGGGTTTTGCTAAAGAAAGAACTATATTAAAAAAAAAAAAATTACCAAAATTAACATAAAAAAAAAAATAATATGTTAAAATTTGTCAAAAAAATGTCAACAAGTAGCCGAAAATATCTCAAAAATGCAACGCTTGTAGGCAGTCCTGAAAGTTTTCGACTCACAGAGTAAAGTCCCCCACTGAATGCCGTAGCTTTTTGAACGATAACATACATATTTACATAGTATTCAGCTCATATGTATGGTTGTCGGGTACAATGGAAAATTGATGGTAATTGCAAAGCAGACAAACTGACGGAAAGGTACGACCACCCATTAGCCACTTTCAAGCAGTTTGTTATAGATCACACCAGTCTATTAACCAAGGAACGCTGGAACAACTTTTCGCCTTTCAGGATTTCCTGGTATTTATATAAAATGAAACGCTTACGGGCCACTTCCTAACGTGCCTTTATTGAGCTATGTGACATGTACGACCGAATCAAAAAAGTTACCAAATTGAAAAATAAATTACCAAATTTATTAAATAAAGAAAAAAATAACCAATTTTGGTTAAAAATTACCAAAGCGGCAACACTGGTCGCAAGGCATCACGCATACCTTGCCTTGCCCCGTCCATCACATTTTCACATTTCATAGATGGCGGTGATGTCAGTCTTTGTCTTCCCGAGGACATCAACCAGCCGGGCAGAGGCACCTTCCCCATTACAGGTCCGGATATTCCAGGTGCATACCCTCAAATCATAGTCCTTTATACGTTTGCCGTGGTCATCATTAAAAAAGGGGGTCTCATCGGAGGCTTTCTGAACTTTTTCATTGGCCGGGGTTTTAACGTGGCGGGACCCAAACCCAGCGCACGCGAAGTTTTACGCCTTCTCACTTTAGCTTTAGATATAAATATCCGTACGTTGTGAGCTGCGATTTGAATCGTACGTACAAGAATTACTTCTGGCCACTCCCAGGTGAATGGCAGTTTTTTGTTGTCTGCGCACGGGACCATCCTCAAACTGACCCACTTAAGTGAAAAAATTGGGCTACAACTGATACCAAATTAGATATACACTGTATAAAAATTGTGACTTTAAGCCACAAAACGGCAGGTGGTTCAATATTCTAGAGCTCTTCCATTTTATTGGCTGCCTCACAGTGTTACTATTTATTACTCCTTTTCCATAGGTTAATATGCCTCTGCTGCGTCTACTACATCAAATCACAAACATGTATCAGAATGTCAAGGATGCTCAAAATGAATTTCATCAACAACCGGATTTGACTAGAAAGTCGGATGCCAAAGACGAATGTAGCTTAGGTAAGTAAAAAGGGATAAATATAATAGTTTAAAGTTACTGTTTTATACGTTTTAGCATCCGAGCCCAATGATATCGCCCCCTTCGGTTCGGTGCCAGATCGCTTTGTCCATAATGAGAACTCTTCAGATGAACGTTATGATAAATTCAATGAAATGATATCCATGACACATCCCATTGGAGGCAGGTGAGCTTCTTGTTGAAAAGTTAACGTATATCTACTTTGCATGTTTACGAACTGCTTATTGAAATAATATAGGGTACGCCCTAGTGGCATCGGTCCCTTAATACAGCTAACACCTTCCCCTAATGCCAGAAATCGGCCATCCAGTTTTGCTCAAAAGTTACGCTCTACTAGCAAATCTGTTAAGGGAAAGTTAGGTAATTTACATTATTATATATGACAAAAAATATACATCTGTTGCTTATTTTCATATCTTATATGCTCAGGATACACAAATCTAAATGAGACAAGCTCTTCACCATTACGTGATAGCCCCATTACTTCAGTAAGCGAGCAGCATATGTTCAAATTATCGCTAGAGTCCAAGGCATCGCTCAATGGAGCATGCGCAACCAGCGTCAGTGGTGACTGCAATACCATAAACAAAAATGACTTCAATGGTATAAAGCCACTGATGCTGACGCCAAATTGCTGGAAAACAATTTACAATTTGTTAGAACTATATGGTACCATGCCTGAAACAAAGACAGTGCAACGTAGCTCAATGTCCAATGAGACACACGATGCTTTTAAATATGGAGTGAAGAAAACTTCAGTTGGTGGTTATATGCGACAGGACACGCGTAATGAAGAAGATGATGGAACAAGTGCTCCAACGCCTCTGCCGCAACATCGTGAGCTAGTTGGTAGGCGAACGATCAATATTTTATTTGTAAAAAAGGGTTCTAATGTACACATATTTCATATTATAGAAGCTTTGTCGCAGGAAAAAACCCGGCTGGTTGTATTTGGTGTGGCGAAAATTCATAAGACGCGCTTAATGGCGACACTGAGTGGCCTAAAACTGGAAGCTGAAATAACCACCTTGAATGGCAGTGCTACATGGCGCAAAAAAGCACGACCGGTATCACTGGAATGCTCCGTAACTGGCCAAGTAGGTCGCACCATGATCGTACTTTTGGAAGGTGTTGCACCAAATCAACAGTAAGTTGTTGAGCTGGTAAAATTATTGACAGTACTAATTGCCTTTATTGTACAGAACTGTCGTAAAAGTAACGGTGGGAAAATGTCAAACGCTCTACTCCAGTTTGACAAAGCGTGGCAAAGATAAAAACAGCGGATTGCTCTCAATTGGCCCAGTGAACATCGAAATACCACAACACCCCGTCGCATTGCATGGAATGATGACTCGCAGTTCGAAGCAGCTAAGCTCTACTCTGCAAGAATTGCGTGTTGGACGCAATTCTGGTCGCTCTGCGTCACGTGCACATAATCCCGATGAACCAGAATCGCCACATCATTCACGTTCCGCCGGCAAAAGCGTTGATGTGAAGGAGAACGCTGAACCACAGCAGGAGCCGAAAAAGAAAGCAGTACCACCACATAAGATACCAGCGCAACATAATGGATTACTTCAACCGTTGGTTATGCAGTTTAATATTTTACTGCATAGCTTGTCGATAAATGCAGCACTATTGCCTTCGTTACAAGCACAATATCGTATGAACTGTGTCAGTTCGACAGGTGTGACTGGCAATCGTGCAAAATTCGTTATAGATTTGCCAACACATACTCTAAGCTTTAATACGAAGATACAGGTGCGGGTGAGTAGATATCATTCTTCATTGATTTATTGTATTTAGTATATCGAGAAAGTGAGAGTGAAATTGGTTTACATTTACATGTTTAGAATGAGATGAATTTGCCCTCTGAGGCCTGTATCGGCCTACCGCTAGTTCATGTGAGCGCTGAATATATACCTGAAAACAGGCAAGAGGTATGTATGTGTAATTTATATCTGTTTACATTTTAGTCATTTAAGCATTCTTATTCAGGAACCAGAACGAGTCGAAGGTATCATATTACGTCGCGGTGGCTATGTGAATGCATCAGCTGAGATCGGCGAATTTGAGCGCTGTTTAACAACTGATCTTCTGAATCATCTGGTATTTGTTCAGAAGGTTTTCATGCGCGAGATTAATGAAGTATTACAAAAAGTGTACGGCGGCGAAAAGCCAGTGCCCCTATGGTCTGAAGATAGTGGTGATACAGCCAGCGTACAAGAGTCTTCGATGAAAAGCATACTATTTTCGGTCAACATATCGATGAAGCGAATACAGTTGACTGCTACAACGCCCTGCTCTTCAGCAGTGCGCTTTGAAACTGGCACGCTAGAGCTGCATTTGTCTAATCGCGTAAAAAATTTGGGCGAAGGAAATGATCGTAAAATGTTTGGCAAGGCCCATATCGATTTTAACCTTTCGCTGGGCCAAATTATACGTAATGTAATCTTTGATGAGGCTGAACCGGAATTCCAACAGTATGCCTTCTTCCATACAACCATAGGTTTGCGAAATGCCTTCCAAGATGAGTTGTTAAATGAGGATAAAGAGCTGGTGTTGTTAAAGCTGAAGCGTCCACTTCTGTATATTCAACCGATCGCCGTTGATAAGGCTATTTTGGTGTGGTTGAACTACAAGAATGCTTATGAATATTGGGCCGAAAAGCGAGCAAACTTGAACTATGAAAACTCACAGGTAAGTAACAATGAGCTATGAAAATAGCATGATTTCTAAGTCCGGATTTGACATGGTTTTTCTTCATTTTCATTTATTACACCGGCACACAAAAAAATGGTGGGTGCGTTTAACCAGACCCACCTACCGGGATGTACATATTTCAACCCACTGAATCCGAATATGAGGTCTGCTTTACTCTTACTCATCCTAAACTTCGATTTGGTTGCGAAAATAGTGAAAAATTAGCCAAAAATTCGCAATTTAGTCGAAATTTTGAGGGTGTACGAGTCAACGGCTTAATTTCGAGTGCAGCGGCACACAAAAAAGTGGCCGGTGTATTTAACCAAACCCACCTATCGCCGAATCTGAATCTTAGGTCCGTTTTGCTTTGTACTAGAGGGCTGCATGAATTCATTCAAAAGAGTGCTCGAAAGTAAACGGTTATCTCTCCTCCCTTAGCAACGCTTTTCACCACCTGGACGAAGGAGGTCAGACTGCAACTGGGTATTCACGTGGATGAAGAACCAATTCCGACTGTGAACAACCTGAAGATCCTCGGAGTAACCTTCGACAGTCTTCCCTCCCTCTCGGCGCATACAACCGCAATTGTCAATAAAATACAAAGCCGCAACAAGGTCTTCACGTCGCTAGTCGGCAGCACCTGGGGCAAAAACAAAGAAACGTTGTTGGCAAGGTTCAAGGCAATTGGCCGGCGGTTCTGAACTATGCAGCGAGTGTGTGGTCTCCGGGTACTAGTAAGATGCAGTGAATGAAGCTACAGACCTGCCAAAACACGGCACTCCGGACAGCGACAGGATGCCTTCTGATGTCGCCGCAACATTAGCTGCACGACGAGGACCATATGCTCCCAATTAAGGAGCATAACCCAATGCTCTGCAAGCAATTTCTGCTTGCAGAAGAATCCTCGCCACGGCACGTCAGAAGGCATGTATATGAATTGACGGACGAAGTCCAAAGGTTCATAAGACAACCTCTGGAGCGGACAGAATACCGACAGGCCCTGAACGGCATTCACAGGGAGTCAGTCTCGAGTTATATAGACTCTCGACCGTGAATGCTGTGGACGGGCTTCGTCTGCCTCGGGAGACTCGTACCACAATAGCTTAACTTCGCTCTGGCTACTGCAGCAGGTTAAACTCGTACCTGAGCAGAATAAATGCAGATGTGCCAAACGAATTCCCGACGTGCGGACAGACGCCCCACGACTCGAAACATCTCTTCGCATGCCCACTGAATCCCACCCTGCTAACGCCTGTGTCCTTATTGACAGACCCCATCGAGGCTGCACGCTTCCTGGGTCTTCCGTTAGTAGAGCTTGACAACGATTGCGGGACAAACCGGTCTGGACGGGGTTGTTGTAGCCGCTACAATAAAAACAATTTATTAAAAACGTACCGTACGGTATATAAATTATTCATATACAAAACGAATGAATGATTTTGGCTTAAAATTCTTTTTGAATTTGAGTGAATACCTGTTCCGATATGTGTATCGCCATCATGATTCAATAATAAAAGGTTTGCTCAAAAAGCAGTTTTCTCGCTCCCTCTTGACAAAATCGGCTCCCTTAGCAAAGCACTGTGTGTGGGTTCGTGTGTGTATGCGAAGCTTTTGTAAGGCAGCTAAGGGAGTGTCAAAAGTCGAATGTCAATAATGAGCAAACCTTTAATTATTGAATCATGTATCGCCATAACAATATTCAAACAATTACCTTGTTTATACCTACCCAACAAGCAAAATAAACTTAAAGAAAGTTTTTTTAAGTTTTCAATTATAAACATTAAGCTTACAAAACGTTGATTTTTTGTTTATAAAACGCTTGAAAGTAAGCGTAATATAATCGAAAAGGAACATTGGTTATAAGCGTAGAAAAATATAAACTTTTAATAAATGTTCAAAAGAAAGCTTTTTATAAGCGTAAAAGTTTAAACTTATAATAAAGGTTCAAAAAAGGATGTTTATAAGCGTATGAATATAAACTTACTAAAAATTTTCAAAAAAAAGCTTTTTATAAACATTTTTATAACCCTTTATTTAAAGATATTTCAATAAAAACTCATACATAGATTGCTTAACATCTAGAAACCAAAAGAAATGCGAATTTTCGGCGGACTCATCTACAGTCGCGAAAATGTAAATAGGGAATAGACATTTTAGCATACAAATTCACGATAACACACAAAAATTAAGCATAAAAAAGTTAATTATTATATCTTGTTGCGTGCTTTCAATTACAAGCGGTTATTGGCAAATTGGAAAAACGACATCGATGCAGCTATATATTCCGCTTCATCGCCGCCATTCTCATTGATGAACTCAAACTAAGAAAGGATAAGGAGAACTCATCATTTGAAGACTCGAATGCTCTACCGATTAGCGCAGCTGGTCCTGGATTAGATTTTTTTTACCGCATTGGTTTTATTTAATTTTTTCCTTTTCATAATATATTTTAAAAAACGTAAACACGTCACTTTCGATTGAAAAAAATTATATTTACTACTTCATGTCGTTGGCATTTGCATTTCATTTATAAGTTTAAGTTATTTATAAACATTCGCTCTCAAAACTTATTAAAGGTTTATTTGAAAAATTTTTTAATAAGCTTAATATTAAAAATGCTTATTTAACGCTTATTATAGCAAACTTACTTTAAGTTATTTTTAACAAGTAAGAAAGTCTAAGTTCGGGCGGGGCCGAACATTAAATACCCGGCGCAAGTATTACATATATGGCTTTTCACCTTTCCGAAAGCTACCGCTACATGGTAAGCCGGGGTGTATCAATTTTGAATAAATTGTATGCGTCCTTAAATTTCGAAATATTGACATTTCAAGGCATTTCTAAAATTTACCGTTAGTATAAAAGCGGCGTAATTTTAGTCCGATTTCAATAACTTTTGAATCGTTTGGCTTTTATGTGGCAAGCACAATAACCATATCCGAGTTTGGTACAAATTGGACTGAACGGTCACCGGATACATATATGTGGACATAAGTGGGC